GTGAGAATGAAGCTTAATGAATATTAAGGAGTTGTATCCACCACTAGTCCTGCTTGAAGTTGACCATTCAAATTGATGGGCCTGATTTAGTCCCATTAATTTCAGTAGAACTTGGGCAGATACAAACCTATGTTCAAGAGTTATTAGTAGGGGGACTCTGAACACTTGAATGTGTAAAAGGTCAATTTTTCCTCCATTCATGTGGGAGGCCAGCTTCGAAACAGTAAAAAAACTGCAGTGTAGGGTATGTACAGTGCATGGTCAACATGCCTGCTTAAGTTGATTATCCACCTAGAAAAGAAGACGGAACAGCTGGCCCTCTCCTGAAGTTACTCTGATTCGATTTGAAATAAGAACACCTTGCTACCTGTTTACAAAAAAAAATATGTTGCACTGAACTTTTGTTTGTACATTGATGATCTTTTTGGTTTGGACAAGGGAAGACTGGCAAGCTAGGATCATTATTCTGTGCTTTATGCACCTACCTTTCTGGCCTTTCAGCGGGAGCTATTTTATTAGCATTTCTGGATGTTGACCTAGCTCTTGGGGGGGCAATCAGCCATGCCACCCTTTCGCCCTTCACGTGCTGCTAATACTACCTCAAGCACTCCAAGGAAAATGATTATACTCACTACCTGCTTGCTTCCTTAGTAAATGACCCCAGGACCTTTTTAATATTACTCTCTTCCTACCCCATTGCCAGTTAACCACAGATTACGCAAGCAGGACCTTGAAAGGGGTGGGGGTGTGTGTACTAGGCTAAGAAAAAGTACCGTGAAGAGAAACTCTTCTCTCTCCCCCCCCAATTTCCTGCTCTGTTCACTTTTTCTCTTCCATTGGCCATTTTATAGGTCTCTTGTAGCTGATGCGGCACGATGACTTCATCAGGCTTGCTCCTTTTAACCCATGTCTTACCTGCTGTAAGCGGAGATCATGTGATTGTGTTCTCTTGGCTGTAGATGTTTTCCATTTCTCTGCATGAAGTCCAATCTGGGCCTTGATATAATAGAAACAGACGAAAACCTTTTAGCAAAGTGCAAGAAGTTCAGCGTGTGTGTGATTTTAATTGCACAGTATGTTAGCCTTCATTTTGTTATTGTTTTGATGAGGTGTGGTGCGTAAAGTGCTAGCACAGGATTATATCATTAACCCAGCTGCAGTTGGATAAAGATAAGCCTTGTGGCCAGAAGAGCTGTGGGAAGGTATGGCTTACGACTTATTCCTGTGAAATGCTGACCTGATCTTCCTGCTAGCTTAACACAGTGTTCAGCCTTTGAAGGACACGAGGATCTTTTTATCTTTAAACTTTGCATTCAGACTGAGCCGGTCGGTCTCCTTGAATCAGAGAAGTTAAGTCACACATGTTTTCTGTAGCTCAGAACTGTCCAGTGCGAAAGGGAAGTGATGTGTGGCTTGCACTTACATCTGACATCCAGTTGTAGCTGGTCAACTTGATGGTAGCACATTGACAACTTTCAATGTTAAAAAGTCATGTTTTCTAAACTTGTAGCCTCCACATGGCTGGCACCAACCCCGTACAGTGCTTTTAGATGTGCTATATTAAGCCAGTATTGCATCACGTATTAATAGCTGCCTCCCAGTTTAGAGCAGGTAGCATTCATATATGTATAAACTAACACTTTTAAGTCCCAGACAGTTGACAGATCAGCATTTTATTCTCCCCCCGATACAGGCTTCCCTGTATTAGAATTCCATCATGTTCAGACTTTGCCAGAGAGGTTTTGCCACTGATAAGAATAGGCTGTGCTATAGGAAAGTATCCTCTTCACTCTGGAAAAAGAAGCCAATGGTTCTAAAGCAGAACTCAACACAGTTTGTTGCCTCAGAAAATCCTTGCCGTTCTGCAACAAGCTGATAGCAATAGCAAGACAGCAATGAAGAATTAGCGGCATCTGAGCTCAGAGTATAGGTGCATTTCCCTCATACCAGGCGAACATCCTAAACTGGGAGCTCTTTGTCTCTTTCCGTAAGGCTTGACTCTCAGCCAGCCTGGCAGCTGTTGTCATCCTATCACTCTTACTTTTAAAAACTTGGCTTGATTCACCTTCAATGCTGACTTTGTTTTGGTTTCCGCTTACATTTAGTATTACCTGCCACAGTTTTCTATATAAAAGAGATACAAAACTGTCTTTGCACAACTTCTGATACTGAACAAACCGAGCTCTCAAGTTACACCACATCTCCTGGCAAACAGAAGTCTCTGTAATTCAAAAGCTTGCATACATACACCAAAAGAGGCTGTTTAGTAGAAGAGAGATCCTCTAATCCAGAGATGAGAAACATTTGGCCTTGCAGATGTTGCTGCTCACACCATCCCTGACCATTGGCTGTGCTAGCTGAGACTGATGGGAGTTGGGAGTCCAATAGCTTCTGGATGGCCAAAAGTTCTCTATCCCTGTTCTAATCAATACTTGCTCTCTCTCTAGCACTCCTTCCTCTGCAGCAGCGACCAGTTTTCTGTTGACAACCTAAATTTATGTCAGCTGTGTGCCATGCGACTTCTTCAGGAAGAACTGGAGAGTTCTCTTATTATTGCACTGTCTCAATTCATTCAAAACTTGTTTTTGTTTCAAAAATCAGATTTCATTTCTCAATAGATTTTTCTAGGAAAGTTCTTATGTGTGCTCACTCAAGTCTGGACTGTTCCAAGTTTTCAGGTAGTAGCTTCTGCTATGGGAGCTTTTTATTATTATGCAGAGTGCTACATTATCATGGCTGCCTTTGCTCTGTCCCTCACTGAGGTATGGGTGGGGGGGAAGCAACCTCAAGAAACTGCCAACACTTTTCCGGCATTAGGAGGGGAAGGGGCAAAGGAAAGAGCCCTTGCAGTTTCCCTCTCCTGAAATTGTTTATTTGAAATAAATTGTGAATTTCTAATTTTAAATGTGCGTAGTGTCTTTTTTTCCTCCCTCCCTTGCTGATGCAGCATTTCCCATTATACAGTGAGAAAGGGGAAAGAGGAAGAGAAACGTTTAGAGTTTTAGTATAAACTGGGAGCTGCTTGAACAGTACCACCGATTTCCAGCAACCTATTAAAATAGGTTCGGCCTTTCACATGCAAACAAGTCAGTCCCTCAATCCAGTTTTTTGTTCTCTCCAAAACATGGTTTTGTGTTCAACTTCCTCATTTATTTATTCAAAACATTTATAGCCTGCTCACTAACTTAAAAAGGTTCGTAGAGTGGCTTACATGTCAAAATAGCAAACCTGAAGGCATGGAATGTGCTCTATAAAAAAGACACTGGTACAAAAGGAAAAAGGAATGGAGAGGGAAGTTCTTTACCAGCTGCCATGTTCTCTCATTAAAAAAAAAAAGCCTGTGAAGTTGGATCTCCTTCAAGATGTACAAGTTTTTGAGGAAATAATCTACATGGAAAAAATATGAGAGACATTACACTTACTTCTGTAAAACAAGAAAATCTTTAATAAAACATTAAAAAAAAAATAATCTGGGCAAAGGTGTTGCCCTTCCTCTTTAAAACAAAACCTGAATGTGTACTGTTGAATCTACTTCATAATCCTGAAGTTAAGAAGTAAATCTCACAGGTAGAGGATTATGCAAAAGCTCCCAGTAGCTCCCAGGCACTGGTTGCATAAGGTGTGGGGATGATATCAAATGTTGGTTTTGCATACTCAACATGGGCTTTACATGCTGTTCAACTGCCTTTCATTACTGAAATTGAGAGCAGCTGTTATATATTTTATACATATAATTGAAAGGCAGGAGCTTTTAAACCTTTATGTGTCTCAAGAACCAGGTGGTGGCCTTAGCCTACCAGCTTCTTTAGCAAAACACCCTAGACCTACGATGATTCATTACGACTGAAAAAGGCACTCTGTACATGTCTAGGAGCACTTTACTCGAGTTCCAAAAAAGCGGGGGGAAGCTCAGGCTAAAATGTCATGTGTGTTTTTTAATAAAAAAAGTATTAGTAGAACTAGCTAATTCACTTCGCTTAAAATAAACCTTCAAACCAGCCACTGCTCTTGTCAACAACAAAAAACTACGTCAGGACAGCGCTGGACGTTCTGCCCTTATCAAAAATGGCTGCAGTTTCATATTCATCCGTAAGGGGGGGGGGAAAGCCGGTGCCTTCCTCAAAATGGCTTCCCATCACACTGCTAGGGGAGGAGAGGCAAAGTTGCCAGGATCTAAAATGGCCGGCAGAGCGGCTGAAGCCAAAACACTTTTTTAAAAATCCTTATGCAGGCCAGCACCCTCTCGGACTTCGTCCCGGCCAGCGCCGTCCGGTCGCCTTCCCTCCGCTCTCCCCCCCCCCCACTCCTCCAGGCCAAACTAACGGGCCCGGCCGCGCGCTCTTTCTCCGTGCGTGATGACGTAAGGGGAGCCCGCCCGGAGAAGCCGTTGCTGTTCGCGGGGTGGTTGCCGTGGTAACGGTACCCAGCTCCCAGGCCGGAGCGGGCCGGGCCTAGCCATGGCTGCTGCGGCGGGGGCAGCTGTGGCGGGCGGCGACGGCGACGCCGGACGAAGACCCCCGCCCGCTGCCGGGGTCTTCCTTCGGGCGGAGGGCCGTGTGCTCCCGACCCTACTTCGTGGTGCTGATGGTGTTCGCGCACCTCTACGTGCTCAACGTGCTGGGCTTGCTGCTCTTCGTGCACATCAGCTCCGACGGCGGGGAGACGGAGCCCGGCAAGGAGGGACCCCCGGGCCCCGCACAGGACCCGCCCGCGCCGCCCTTCTCCTCCCCGGGAGGAGGAGGCTCTCGCCCCTCACAGCCTGCCTCGCTCGAGGGCATCAAGGCAAGTAGCGTCCCGAAACCTCCTTTTTGCGCGAGGATGCAAACAAGCACTGCTGTTCGTCGGGAGGTAATTCAAGAGGGCAGGTCTCCCTTTGGCGGCTGTTTTTAAAGTTGCAAGGGGTCGGGGCGAGTTTCCCCCTTTCCTCGACCCTTCAGAAGAAAAGAAAAAACTTCCTCCTCCCAAGGCTTCTGTGCAAAAAACAGTTTCGGGGGCGCTTACCCCAAATTATTTCTTGCCCTCCCAGCTTTCAGCTGCCATATATCCGTATTTGGAGGTGTGCAGCAACATCGTCGTCTCATGGTGATTATTACAATCTTTTTGCCTCCTTGGCTTTTTTCTAGTGTTGCCCCTTAGTTCCGGGTGTTGTTGTTGTGTGTCTGTAATGGTGCTGCAGGGGGATTTCCACCCCCTCGTCAGGAAATCGGCCGAGGGGTGTCAAGTCAACCTGTTCCTCTAGGAAATGTTACCTACAAAGGGAGGGGGGTCTGGAAATATACATTATTTTATATAATATCCCTGTCCACTGCTCCTGCAGCCCGAGAGGGGCTGGCTCCTCCTTCCGTAGCTGCTAGTTCTGATAAGTGGCAAGCCCTCGTGGATCTTTAAAAGAAGCATAATGGGCTAAGTGCCGTCTAGCCCCTCCGTGGTGATGCTTTCCCTAGCACGCTGATGCAGTGATATGAAAACTTTTTGCACTCGCTGAGTTTCTGATTTTTATGCAGCTGTTAAACTGTGTCAGGGGAAGGAAAGTTTTCGCCTCTGCCCCCCGCCCATTCCTGTTACTTACCCCCCCCTCCTGTCTCAAGGGACATCATTGCACAAGGCATTTAGGGATAATGGGCATAGCGAGGGGGGGCAATTCCCCCCCCCATATTTTATTTTATAATGGAGTGACTTTATTTTTAAAAACTTTTTGTTGCCTTTGTCTTTAAATAATTTGAGCAGTCGTGCATTATTGAGAGAAGTACTTAAACTGTGGGTTGAGTTTGTCTATTTGTGATGGCTAGGATTGATCTACATTGGTACATCTTGGTACATAATGTGATGTACTACAGACAGGCCTGATAGATGTGGTCTGTATTGATGTTGGGTTGGCCTAATAAAATTTAGCACAGTATACTAAATTCTAGAGTGGTATAGTAGGATCTAATATGAGCAACATCAATATGACTTTATTGTAAATTCACTAGGCTGCAACTTTGTCTGTTCCTTGGTCCAGATTGGGATTGCCTGCCTTTTAAAACAAAAAGCGCCACCAGCAGCAACAGCTAGAATTTATCGATGGGCACGTTCCCTATGCTGTTGCAATGGAGGTTAATTTTGCTGCCAATTCCAAGAAATAAAGCTCCTATATTCAATTTGCACAGCAAAAGAATTTCAGTAATTTAAAAAGTAAAAGTTAAAAAAATACTTTTAAAAATGGTAGTCAAAACTATGCAGGTGGGTCAGCAGTAACCATTCTCTTGCAACCCCTTGTGAAATTTTCAGTTAGATGCCAGGGAACAGAGTGGCAGTTAATGAATTTTGAGTGCTAGCAAGATGTGTTATTCTCTCATGCACACACTGTGATAGCGGATGAGTAAATTGTGCATTTATTGTGCAGAAAAGTGATAATGCAGAAGAACCCTAAACCTTCTGTGATGAGTGCTGCTTCCACACTGAGCCTAGAACTATATCCTGTATTTGCTAGTAGCTGATCTCATATAGTTTTGAACCATGTAGATGAGCTTTGTGATGTTTTGTATTTCAGAATTTGCCATGTCATGATTTAGCAGGCCATTGTGTATGTAAAGATACTGTCCAGGCCTCCAATGATACCATATACTGGAGCTAACTGTATTTGGTGTATAGCAGTTAAAATTAATTTATTTTACTTTCTTTTCAAGGTGGGCCATAAACAGAAGGTGGAACTGATTCCTAACAAAATCCATGTCATGAAAACTCTCAGCTTGAAACCACTCCTTTTTGGTAAGGAAAAGAGGCTACTGGAGATATATCCAGATGACCTATTGGTAGAAGAGGAAATGAGATATACCATATATTAAAGTTTGGCGGTTTCTTATTGCCTCATCTTTAGTTGCCTTTGGGCACAGAAATTCTGTCCCATTCATGACAGTAATTATTACTGTGGCTCCCGAGCACATGTGAACATCCTTTACAGCAGTAGTCTGTTAATTTTTCAGACCCAGGATCTATTTCTTAACCCTAACTGATACTGAATTTTTTTTACTATATACTATGGTCTTTCACCTACTCTCTCTAAAGTAACCAGGTGCAAAAGAAGACAAGATTCCTTTGCCTTTAACTGCTGTGTAGAAGAGCAGATTTTGCCTCTTTCTCATGCAGGAATGCATAAAGTGTCAACAGCTGAAATTTCGTAGAAACTCCACAGTTCTCATTGCCCCTCCCTTCCTTGCTCCTTAAGAGAAAGTGGGTGGATGGGGGTGGGTACAAAGATAGAAAGTGGTGGTGTGACACATGCTTGACTCCTCTTACATTGGTGCCTGACTAATCCATTTCCACCAGTTGTAGATCAGTCTTTACTGGATTGAACTGGTTGCGTCAGGCAATAGTATTAATTGAGGTTTTACAAATTGCAGTTGAGCTTGATAGGCAAAATAATTTCT